TATCTGTTTATATTTCTAAGATGAGATATTATGTACATTATGTACATTATTTACATTATTCGGACTATTGTCCTTATCTTTGTCGCCTCATTTATTACAACGTTTCGGCCATTCAGCATCTGTCTATATTTCTGAGATGAAGTATTATGTACACAATTTACATTATTCGGACTATTGTCCTCATCTCTGTTGCCATAGTTATTACAACGTTTCGGTGACAAAGATGAGGACAATAGTCTGAATAATGTAAATAGTGTACATAATACCTCATCTCAGATATATAGATAGATACACGCTGAGCGCTCTATCAACGTCACCTTGTGCCAGTGTTCGTTTCGTCCAAGTATGCGAAAAGCTATGCTCACCCAAATTCTGCAAGTACATGACTTATGAAAGTATCTCTTCTTTTATGTACCATGTCCTCGTAGGAATTAAGCGATCATGGCTCTCGACAAGACCCGAATTTTTGTTGCTTTACTTACAATAAACAATATAATAACAATGACAGGAAACAGATACACATGTCAGAGGGTATTCCCCTGACGAAGCTATGCCGGAAGGGTAGAGTCTCGTCTCGGGAAACTGACTGGTCTATAGGGAATTTTTGCCCGAGCCTACGGGCTCAGATACCCCACTTTAAACTCGGCTTTGCGCCACATCTTGCTGCTAGGGGCAGCCGGTAAATAATCATATATTGGGATGATTAACTCATGGGGTGTTTTTTACGCTGTAGGTTCCAAGTGTGTGGTGAGGTATTTTGGTGTATGAAGGAGCAAATGATGACGGATAAATTCTTGATGAATTAATATATTCTAACGAATGAATGGGTCATGAATCTTAGCTACTGAGGACCAACCTTGACTAATCCCTCTCCCCATTTTTTGTGCAAGAATTGCTGTATCAAATTAGTACTAAATCATGGTAGAGTTTGGCAGTCCGCTTTCTGCCTCGCTGTTATCGGCTCTCATTTGCGTGTCTCTGTCTACAGACAGGGCGCAACTGAAGAATATTGAGAGCTCCCGGATATTGGAAAACAACTGCATGAAGAGGTGGGGGGGGGTCGGTAGCAATACACATGCTAGCGCAAGCGATAGGTGCAGGGACTGGGCAATTTGGGGCCTTTGCCCGGGTGTACGCGTTCGGGGTTCCCCACATGAAATCGACCTTGAGTCACAAAGAGAATCCTCCCTGCCTTCCATCAGGATGGCTGATGCCCAACTCCACGAGAGCGCCTCTCTGCGCCTGCTTGGCCTCACGCTGACCACTGACCTGAAGTGGGTCAACTGCATTGAAGCAACAGCTTCATCTACCGCAAGGAAAGTGGGTTCTCTGTGTCGTGCCACAAGGTTTTTCTCGCCTGAGTCCATCCTTCAAATCTATAAATCGACCATTCGTCCTTGCATTGAATCCTGTTCCCGTTGTTCATCTCTGGTGCTCCCGCTAAACATCTTGAGTTCCTAGACAACACCCAGAGACGGATATGCAATGTTATAGGTCCTGATCTGGCATCCTGTCGTGCTGTGGCTTCCCTCTTTGTTTTCTACAAGTATTTTCATGGCAACTGCTCTGACGAGCTATTTTCACTGGTTCCCAAACTGCATGAATTTAAGCGTGCTACTTGGCTGGCATCTAGATCCCACCCTTTCACTACTGAAACAACTAAATGTAGCCATCTCTTCTACTCCAACAGCTTCTTATCTCGTGCCTCCCGTCAGTGGAACTCCCTTCCTATCACATGCTTCCCTGATAGCTATAATCTTCAAATATCCAAATGTAATGTCAATCGACATCTTCTGATGCCTTGGCCTTGATCCCTGTCTTTATCCTTTTCCCAACCACTCCTCTTTACTCTTACTCTCACTCTCTGTAACCCCTTGAGTGCTAGTGTCACTCCCGCCTTGCTTGGAGTGATTTGCTTAAAAAAAATATCACCAAGTAAATAGGAGAGCGTGTCTGCACGCCGTGTCGACCACACAGCGGGATTGCCATGTGTTAGCAAAGATATTTGTTCGTGTTATCTAAATTCGTTGTTTTTTCTTGCTTGCGTTTCCGGTGTCCCTGCTGCGTTCGTCCCGTACGTGTGGTGTTCCCGTATAAAAATCTTACCAGTGCCCTGCTCGTTGTGATCCAGTCTCTGATTCCGGTGCTGCTTCGATCTTTTTAGGACATATATTTTATGATGATATTACAAAATTATGACAAAATGTGTTACGAAGAGATAATAAGAAGCTGAAAAGCTTTATTATTGCCAGTTAAAAATTAATGCTGTCTCCTGACGAATTTTTGAACTGCTTACATCTTTCCTATTTAATCGCGAAATAAAAATTGTCCTGTTCTCGATTTTCTTCTTTCTCTTTTTTTTTTTACTGTGAGAGTCATCCTTTACAAGGCCCGGTCGCCACTCGAGGTAGAGTGTTATGTTAAGAGGCTAATTGTGTGTCTAGGTCAGGGAGATAACAATTAACCCTAGCCTTGAATACGTTAAGATTGAAGTGATCGGGAAAACACTCTGTTGGATGTCAGTTCCACAGGACAGTGGTTCGTGGGAAGAAGCTGTTCGAATGGAAATTGCCTGTCACCAGTGGAATACGGGGGGAATGTGGGTGATTTGATACTATGTAAGTGGCATGGCGTGTTCTTGTTGTGAATGTTTGCCTCGTCGGGACCAGGTAATGTAGTTCGTCCGAGCACTTTCCATGGAAGTAGCGGTAGAACAACGAGAGGTTTGCCACATCCCGTTTGTGGGAGAGAGGTTGAAGGGTGAAGAATAATTCGTCGCCCAAATGGGCGCGGAGACGCTGGAGAATAGGGTCTGGACAGCTCCTGCCAAAATATGAAAATATTACTCTATTTCTGCCCTAATCTGGCGCCTAATAGATGATAGCAGCTTGAGTCAGGTACTTACTGGAGTGGTCCATTTGTACTAATACCGGTGTCCCGCAGGTCTCCATCCTTGTTCCTGATTGCATCAGCTCTCAACTTAGTATCTATGTGGATGACACAACCATTTCATTCACTCTCGATAGTACGTTTGTTCATTTCAAATTGGCAGTTGATCTAAAAATATCACCTGCAATCTACTGTTAATTGGGGCAAGAAATAGCTTGTTCATTTTAACGCCCCCAAAATGAAACTTTTCTCTATGTTATAGTGGAACACACCTATTCTATAGTTAATAGACTCACCCACCTATAATAAGTAGGAGTAGTAAGAGTAACGAGTCAGTCAGTCGACTGGCTGATCGGTTGAACTTTCTGCCTTCGGGCGGGGAGGAACCCGAAAGAGGCTACGCCGAAGGGCGGATTCTCTTTCGGGGAGGTAAACCGACCCTGAACCCGTTTATACGGGTTCAATGGGCATATTTTTGGCCGAGCCCACGGGCTCGGAGATCCCACATTAAACCGGCTTTGTGCCACATGATGCCCTCGTGGTGGGGGGTGACTAAATATCGTCGGTCAGTGAGTCGATGTCGGACGACAGTTGGTCGAATACTAAAGTATCAGCGACCACAATTAGATTACTCTGCGTTATACCTATTATATCAAGTTCCTAACGTTTTCTACGTCGAACCTATTTTAGGACCGATTTAGTACAAATACAAGCCTCCACTGTAAAATCACTCCACAACACTCTATTAAACATAGATAGACCTCTGGCCAATCTAGTTCATTTTGTACGAATGCAGTTGTCTCCTACCCAGGGCAACGTAACGTATTTGACTTTTCTATGAACACTTTCATGATAATTTTTCAGATGAACTTTTTTCTTTGGTAGTTAGGCATCATGAATTTAAAAGCAGTTCTAGATTTGCAACAAGGTCTCATCAATTTACAGTTGAATTAGCTAGATTTGTAACCGTAAGTTATATATCTAAGTTGTCTCGCACTTCTCGCTTGTGGAACTCTCTTCCGACTCCATGCTTACCCGTCAACTTTGATCTTCCAAAATTTAAATGCAATGTCAATCGTTATCTACCGTCTTCTTGATTACACTTATTCTACTGTTCCAGCCCTTTAATAATGCCGTCCTGGGTAAGACGATAAACTACATCCGACTGCAATGCATCTGATCAGAAAGTTTTGAGAAGCGTGGAACCACCTCTTAATTGCTGATGTTCCCAAGTCCACCCTGACCCGGGGTGATAGCAAATGTCAAGATCTCAGCTACGGGAAAATAGTTTATGGTATTTCTGGATGAATTTTGGAACTGATTCAGTGTTTTTCTCATCAAATCGCAAAATGAAAGTCATTCTGAATGGCCACTCTTCTGGATCTTTTTGTCCGAATGCAGTTGACCCCAGGACTCTATCCTTGAACCGTCTTTGTTCTTAGTTTTCATCAATGACTTTCCTGATGGTATCAGCGCTCAACTTGATATCTATTTGGATGAGACAATCATTTAATCCTGTCTCGGTAATAAGTTTGATCCTAAAGTTTGATAACGTCAAATTGGCAGCTTGTTATTAACGGTGACAAAGAATAGCTTCTTTTTTTTAATTTTAACGCCTCTAAAACAAAACTCCTGTCTATTAATCATCTGAGAGATACCATTTCTGCCTCCCATCATCATGGCCGATGCTAACCTCCAGAAAGTGACTCGTTGCGCCATCTCGGGCCAACGTTCTCGGTTGACATGAGATGGAAAGATTATATTGAATCGATTGTTAGGTCAGCTGCTAAGAAATTTGGTCGTACGAGACAATTTTTCTCCAGAGTTTATCTTATATCTACTATCTATAAGAGTACTGAGAAAGTAATGGCTTTATTTTTTATATATCCCTTCAGAACGTGGGCGATCATGGTGCTCCACAACGTCCTGTCCTTTGTGGTTCTTAGTAAGTTTTGACTTGTTTGTTATCTCTCCTAATCCCAGTTCTGTCGACAATTCACACAAGCCCTTGAGGAAGGTTACCATTTCCTCTGTTTCTCTCGCCTTCACTGTGTGCTGTGAGTGTCAAATATTCTAAACCTTCTTTCCGCATGATGCGTCCCAAAAAGAACGATAACAACGGAAGCAAGCAAAGATGGGAAAGAAGGAGAAAAAGAAGGATGCAGAGAGGGGCAGAGGAGATGATGAAATAGAGGGAGAAGGTGAAAAAGAAGGATGCAGAGAGGGGCAGAGGAGATGATGAAATAGAGGGAGAAGGAGAAAAAGAAGGATGCAGAGAGGGGCAGAGGAGATGATGAAATAGAGGGAGAAGTAGAAAAAGAAGGATGCAGAGAGGGGCAGAGGAGATGATGAAATAGAGGGAGAAGGAGAAAAAGAAGGATGCAGAGAGGGGCAGAGGAGATGATGAAATAGAGGGAGAAGGTGAAAAAGAAAAACAAAGCAAGCAGAGATGGGAAAGAAAAGTAGGCGAAGAAGAAGGAAAGAGAATAAAAAAACGAATAAATATGGAAAAGAAGAAGAAAAAGAGAAGAAGAAGAAGAAGAAGAAGAAGAAGAAGAAGAAGAAGAAGAATGCTAAGAAAGAAAGCTAGGAAGAAGAAAAAGGATAAAACAACAAAAAAATATGGAGAGAGAGAGAGAGAGAGAAGAAGAAGAAGAAGAAGAAGAAGAAGAAGAAGAAGAAGAAGAAGAAGAAAGCAAAAAATGAAAAGGGAAAAAAAGAAGGGAAGAAGAGATGCATAGTAAGGAATAGCGACATCGACGTAGTAGTAGTAGTAGTAGTAGAAGAAGAAGAAGAAGAAGAAGAAGAATTAGCAGCGTGTAAATTGGACGAAAAGTGAAGTTGGAGAGAGTAGGTTTAGAAGGATAGAAGATGAAGAAGGGGTAACATATGGTAAAGAGAAGGAAAAGAAAGCCGTCGAAGATGTTTTAAAAAGTGGGTGAAGAAGAAAAAGAAAAAGAAGAAGAAGAAAAAGAAAAAGAAACAAATAAATTTGGAGAGGAGGAGGAAGAGAAGAAATATTTATATGGGGAAAATTGTGAAAATGGCCTACCTCGGAAACGCGTTCGAATCTGCGCAGTATGTAAACACTGGTCCCTCCAACTGTAAAAAAGAAAACCAAAATGGCGGCGCCCGCGTTTTATGCCGAGTAGTCTCGGTCAGTTAACGTGAAATCTCGTTGCCTCGTGATTCGCATGCAAATCGTGGTCGGTCCGCAGCTGTATAAAGCAGGCTCGTTTCTGCTGTTTCAAACATAAGGCTTTCGGCTCGTGAGAAGGTTGGACGTGCGACCCGGTTTTCTTTGTGCCTACCTGCTATCACCAGTTGAATTGTTGAGTTACACACTTCAGATACGAGATGGATAAAAGCTTGTAAACCTTTTAGACTTTGGTGTCTTCCGCGCTGATAGCCGTCACGCTCGCAACACTTACAAGAGAATATTTCTTTATTGTTATTATTATTATTATTATTATTTATGTTATAATATCTGGGCTGGTGTTGTTATCATGTATTTAGAGATTACTGATAAAATGTATACAATAATCTGCAATTTTATTAGTTCTAACTTGACATATCGGCTTCAGTCACTCCCCCATCCACACCACCACCGCTACCCTAACGTGACTTCCCTGTACTTTTTCTATAAATATTTCCATGATAATCATTCTGATGAGTTTTCCTATTTGGTACCTGGACGTTATGCATCTAAACTCAGTGCTTGATTAGTGACAAACATCTCATCATTTTACAGTTGAAATGGCTTGAACCGTAAGTTCTAGGCTAAGAGTTTCTTCTCTAGCAGTTCTTTCGGTTTCTGAATTTCCAGTTAACTTTGATCTTCAAACTATTAAATGCAATGTCGATCGTTATTGTCTGTTTTATTGTTTTTGGTTTTTGTCTTTTATTCCTTTTATTTTATTGTTCCTTTTCCGCAATTTCTTCTTCTCATATTCTCTCACACTTAGTAACGACTTATAAAAATTAGCCAAGGACGCGTGCCTCAGTCCAGATACAGTCAAAATTGAGCTGCCATATCGTCAGTCAAGACGCCAGTTCATCAGTCTTTGTGAAGTATACAAAATACTGATTGGTAATTATAATAATGAAATTTCATTATGTTATCAAAAAACACGAGGCATTAGTAGTCACTCAGCCAGGTTGGGGGAACAGCACTCGAAAACGGTTAGAAGATCCAACTTGTTTCCCCTGAGATGAAAGAGAAAAATTAAGAAAAGAAGTAAAATGCAAATGCAATTTTTATTTTTTATTTTATTTTATTTTATTTTTTTTATTTTTTATTTTATTTTATTTTTATTTTGCTTTTTATTTTTATTGTTTATTTTATTTTATTTTTTATTTTATTTTATTTTTCATTTCAGGATCTATATCATTGCAGACCCTTCTTTGGATTTAAGAACTTCGAGATGAGTATCAGAAGCACCTGACCATATATGGCAACAGTATTCATTGCACTGACGAATGGTAAATTTGTAAATTTGCATGATGGACTCTGACGAGAAAAACCATCTGGAACGTCATAGTGGCACAAATTAGCTTGCAGTAGATGCAGTTATTGACTCAATGTAGGCGTTACACTGCAAGTCACTTGCAAATATGAGGCCAAGAAGGTGCAGTGTATATTACTCCCCATAAGTCTAGCGTAAGCCATGCTGATGATGGGCAGGGAATGTTTCTCTATGGTGGTTATATGAGAGCAGATTCGTTTTGGAGCCTTTAAAATAACTTCCGGGTCATTTTCTGTCCCAGTTAACTATAGATTAGAGGTCCTTTTCAAGAGCAGCGGCCAGGTTGTCTTTGTCAACTCTGTCGGATTTGCTATTGAGACAGGAGTAAATGATAGTGTCATCAGCATAAATGCCTACTAGGGAACTGATTAAATCAGAAGATCATTGATGAGAACCCAAAATAGAGCCTTGGGTGACACCCACATTCGAATGAAAGGATCTGGAAGCGAGCCCGTTCAAAACGAGCTTCATTTCATGATTTGATAAGAACGATTGGATTAAATCAAATACACGTCCAGTAATACCGTAGTCCTGTAGCTTAAGTAGAAGAACAGCATGTCAAACCCTGTCAAACGCCTTCCAGATATCACAGCTCGAGTCACAGCTCAAACTTCGCCGTTATTATCAAGAACTTGATATATACAGGGTGTCCATAAAGTTCGTGTGCATTTAAAAAAATTATAACTTCATTTGTATTTGCGATAGAAATAATCTGTAAAAAAAGGATTAGAAAGAAGAAAATCTATATTTTTTAAGGTTTTATTGAAATTTTTTTTAAGTTTCCACATGTCTTCCATCATTAGCAATACAAAGGGTAATACGATTTTGCAGTTCACGGAAAACATTTGCCAACTGATTTACAGTAATGCCTGAAATCACATTAGTTATTTTAGCTATACTTAAAACTAGGTACATTAAACTTTATAACATTTTTTACAGATTATTTCTATCGCAAATACAAATAAAGTTATAATTTTGTAAAGTTCACACGAACTTTATGGATACCCTGTATATTCAGTGATGACCGTTAGTGGTAGATCTAGCAAAAAGGAAGTCGTATTGTTTATTAGAGAGTAGGTCGTGATAGGTAAGATGCTTAACCACATCAGTATTGATTAAAGCCTCGAAAACTTTACCGAAAAGCGGTAAGAGACAAAGAGGACGATAAGTAAAAGGGTTAGAAGTTTCTCCAGAATTCTTAAAACAGGAACTACAGAGGAGGACTTCCGACAAGCAGGAGAGCAGAAAGCAGCGATGCAATAGTTGTAGATTTTGGAGAGAAATGGATCCAGCCCGGAAGAACATTTCTTTAGGACGACAGCTGGGATACGTCACTTCCGCTTACCTTATGGGAGTCCAATTTAGAAATAATATCTCAGACCTGTGACGAGGTTATGCAAATATCACTCAGTAGATCCTCTGTACTAGAAGGGAAATCAGATGTGCATACTCCAATTGGGTCAAGTGTTGAGTTGGAAGAGAAATTCAACCTATCTGCTCTAGATGTCAAGACTTTTAATTCAAATTTGAATGTCAAACTGAGACAATACCAATATATATGCTGATATATAAAAGAAAGATCGATTCCTGTTGCCTACTTCACAAGTTTGTGGGGTTGATCTATTTGCTATAGAAATTCATTCTTTCTTAAATAGGCTACATTTTGTTTTAATTAGACGGGGAAGATAGTTGAGAACGACTTAAATAGACCGGTTCACCTATACAAAATTAGAATCCAAGACAAAAACCCAACGAACAAGAACTCAACGACTTATCCCTAAATGTCTCATATATAAAAAGAAACATTGAAAATTCAAGAAACTTTTAATTCAAATTTTATTGTCAAACTGAGACAATACCAATAATATACATTATATATTCTTATATATAAAAGAAAGATCGATTTCTGTCGCCTATTTCACAAGTTTGTGGGTTTGATCGGTTTACTATAGAAATTCATTGTGGATCCAAACTCTAATAAAATTTCTAACAATGCTACCATATTTGTCTTGTCTTTATGTAACTGTAAATATCCAACGTCAATAGCATGACTCGGAATTTCATGCAAACGTGCAATCATCAGGTGCGAAATATTAGCTTTTCGCACCTGAAGATTGCACGCTTGCATGAAACTCCGAGTCGAGCTATCAACGTTGGATATTAATAATATATACTTAATAGCTCTGTTATGTAGCATTGAGCACTGTTTTTATAACACCTGAGAAAGAAATATATATGTACGTGCAACTATATGTGTGCATATGTGTGTTTTCTTATACACACACAAACACACACATAGATAGATAGATAGATAGATAGATAGATAGATAGATAGATAGATAGATAGATGTGTATTGAATAGAGGACGGATAAAGGGCTTCAGCACATTCTTGTAGAGCCAACAATAATTTTTAAAACCGAACTTACGAGATTCTATACTTTGTTTCATTCTATCAGCAAACAGTAACATTGCTTTATTTATATATTTGTGTTCGGTGACTTTGATGCCCACCATGTCAAATGGCTTAAACACACTAGGACTGTCCCCGACTAGAATCCAGCTTCTTAATTTCTCAATCACTCCACCTCACACACAAGTGGTGAACCTCCGCACGCGTTTCGCCAGCAAACCTTGATAGACATGCTTCTCTTTTAGATCTTTTCTTTTTTTTTTACCTTAACCCTAAACCTAACCCAGACTCATGTCATACTATGCAGCTCTGTACTCTTGGCAATTCTGATCATGAGGTAGTGTCTGTAAATATCTCTTTTCGTTCCTCTACCAGCCAAGTACCTCCTACGAACAGAATATCTTTCTGCTATTAACGAACGGATTGGGACTCGTCCTTTGATTTCCTTCGTGACGTCCCTTGGAATGCAGTTTTAATCATCCTGTTCATAAATGCGCGTCATAGGCTTCCTCCTGGATGAAAGCCGGCATCAATGATTTCATTCCAGCAAGGAAATACCAAGCTAAATAGCTTTCATCTCCTTGGATCTCACCTGCATGCTCGGCCGCAGTAGCTCACAGGAATTACTTCTTCTGGCTGCACCAGAGTGACACGTCTGATTGCAATAAACGTCTCTTTGTCTCTGCTCGTAACAAAAGCAAGCTACCATTTCGTCAGTCAATATGCCAGTACCCTGAACTGTGTTAGGTATACAAAATAGAGGAGGACTATTTTAAACTGGAAGTGTGAAGAAGTTTTTCAT